TGTTAGAAATAGGATAGATGATAAATATATTAATAGTAAAGTATATACTGACTGGAGACACTGTGGAAGAAATAGAAAAAAAATAGGATAAAATTATGCTGAAATCTAGTGGGAGGATCTCCCAGTCTGATCTAGAGTTCAGACTGGGGAGAGATTGGAATATTTTGTACCTGCAAGGTACTTTGTTACGAACTTTACATGTGGTATGCTGTTAATTCATTATGTGAACCACACAAGGTAGATATTACTTTGTTTATGGGTGAAGAAAACTTGCAACAAGGTCCATGGCTATAAAGTGTCAAATCTTGGATCCCAGCCCCATTTGATGAACTCAGGAGTTTATGATCCTCCTGCTGTCTTACCTTATGTAATTCAGTCCTTTGGAAAGTATGGACTCCAGACCATCAACATCCGCATCATCTGGACACTGATTTGGAGGGACATTGCTCAGGCTCCACCCGAGACCAACTGAATGATAAATTCTGGGAGAGGTACCCAGTAGTCTGTGTTATAAAAAGCTCTCCACATGATTCTGTGGCACACTAAATTCTGACAACCAAGAACATAGAGAGTAGCGCTTAGCATAGAGTACTGCACAAAGTAGGCTCTCAGATGTGGTTGGGCCCAGTATTATTACTGCTTCAGGATTAGAGAATCCAGATGGGCTGTGTAACAAAGCTCAGGAGGCAAGAACTAATAATTCTACTAGATTAGCCCCAGTTTGACTCCAGATCCACAACAGCTTGAGCTTTCTTGGGTGGCATTTCCCCCCCAACCTTCAATATAGGCAGTAATGAAGTTGTCAGAGATTTGAGACTGGGAGCCCCGCAGGCTTTGTCAGCCAGATTTATATTTGGCTCAGCGTTAAGTAAAATTGCAACTAATAGTATTTATTTCCTAAATTTATTTTATTCTTTTCTTTTTGCATTTATTTTTAGTTTCTTTCCCCCTTAATTTCCAAGATCTTCTAATAGATTATTATCTTGGCAACTTCAGATGAAAGTAAAATAAAAGGTGTGTCTGAAGAGGGAGGGGCACATATTGTACTTCCTGATTCCTGTGAACAAAATTTCTCTGAAAAGGAATTTGGAGGAAAGAGACCATTCCAGTGAATAGTTTACAAACCAAACTGGGGAGAAGGTGCCTTCCAGAGAATAATGGCAGGGTTCAGTCCCATTTATGCAAATGAAGGATTCAGACTTGCTTAGTTCTGATTGGCCACTACCTCTGAGTTCTGATTGGTTGATACAGCTGAGTCCTGATTGGTTGATAGACCTGAGTCCTGATTAGTTAGTTCAGGTGAGCTCTTGTTAGTTGGCTCAGATGCGCTCTCAAAGTCGGCAATAGGGGTGTGGGTTTTCAGAAAACTGAGATTACCTATGTAATCTCTAGTTTGCAAATCGTCATTTGGTTCTACTTATAATTGAGGCCCAGCTGGCCACTTAGGATTCATTTTGAAGAATTGGCTCTTACAGGTTCACATTTGTTCACATCCCTCAGAGCCAAGTGTGTCAACAGTGTGTTTCCCATTCAGGAGGCAGCTGCTGAGGCTAAGGCAAATTGTGAAGAGAGAGAGTACAGGTTTAGCTCCAATTTATTGTGCTTAGGCAATTTCTTGCATTGATAAATTCTTACTAAGCTTTTGAAGATTATGTAAGTTTAATAAGGTAAGGAAGGTGACGTTTTACCTGATACGCTCTGCAATTTCCTGAACAATCCATTTTGGTTCAGTAGGAAACTTGCTTAAGGGCCCAGTCTAGGAGTTAAGGGCTTTCAGTTTTGATCATACAGATTTCCTGCCAGATTGAAAAAAGAGATATGAAAGGTTTCTTCATTTTCTTTTTCATTTTGGTCTGAACAAATAGGAGTGAATAATAAAATATGAGAAATACTGTTTGAGTCCACCTCCTTGAATTAGCTTTTAGCTTTTGAAATGGAAAAATTGGAAATGGCATTTTTGGGGTGGCTAACATTGAAGAATTATGACTTGACTTAGGCATCAAGTTTCTTTTTTTTTTTTTTCTTTTTAGCATCATGATTTAATGAAACATTTAAAGACTCCTTTGGTGCAATACTGTGCAAGTTGCTGGTGTCTTTCAGTTTTTCATTGTAGTATCATAATTTGAATTTTGCTTAGGGATGAAATGTTGATTTTGTTTATAGGTGCTTGGTCAAGGAGAAGAGTGGAGAGGTGGTTATGGAATTAATAGTATTGGAGGGGGCCAAAAAGTGAGATTAATGAAAGAAGTCATGGAACATTATGCCCATCAAGATGATCTGATTATCTTGTTTACTGAATGGTAAGAGAAATACTCTGTGGATTTTAAAATCTATATTAAATTATTTTTTAAGAGTCAAAATTTGTATTTGTAGATTATGTATTAAATTATTTTATTGACAAGGAATCATAATTTTAAAAAGTAGATATTACTCATAGTTATATAACCATGGTCTGACCTAATGATGTGATCAAAGTTGATGGGTTACCATGAACACTAATAGGGAAATGTCACAAGCTAACATTTTTGTGAAATTAATATTTTAATCTTGAGTTAAAGATAAAGATCATGCTGAGCTTTTCCATTGAGAAGGGTAACTTAATAGATTCTGATCAACCAGGAGAAAATAGATCATGTAGAGTTATACATACAAATGTATGTATATGTCACTTGTATGTCTCATACAAGTGAGACATAAGGAAGTCTGTGTTATTAAGAAAGAAGAACCTTTCCAATATAAATGTCTTTTAATGTAATACTTCACTATTCTTCTAATTTACTTGAAGTATCTACTGTCTTTCTTTACTGTCTTTTTACAGTTATGATTTTTATAATAAGGTCAAGTTGTCATAAGTTAACAGTTGGCACATCTTTTCTTTCATTCTCTGTATTTTCTTTTGTGTGTGTGTGTGTGTGTGTGTGTGTGTGTGTGTGTGTGTGTGTGTGCTTGGTCATTTATTGCTCATTTCAAATCCCCCCATATTTTCCCCTGTAACATAGCAAAGTCTTTTTTTCATATTTGTCCTTAATTTGAAAATGCAAAGATACAATTATTTGTAGATGAAAATAAGAGTAATTTTTATGCAAGTATGTAAATGAGAAAGGCATAAATTTTGAAATGAAAATAGATATATAAAGTCCCAGTGCCATCAACACTTAAAAGTTTTGAAAGGATCCACAAAACTTGCATCTTTAGAATTTTCCTGATATCACCTAGACAAAAAAAAATTAAATTCTACTTGTGGTTACCTATTCTTGCAAGATGAAGTATGGTATGGCAGGTGTTAGCTTGTGTGGTGGGAATTTTTCTATGGCATCTATTATATATTTTTACCTTTAGAAAAAGAATGAGTTCATTATCATAGCTATTTAGATTAAATGTTGAGTATGTTTTGGCTTAAAATTACCATGGATTTCAAACAACCATATTAGTTAGGTTGAACTTGCCACATGTACATTTTGATTTTGGCTGTAAGGCAGATTCTCCTTGTAAAAGCTATCACATACAAGTCAACAGTGATTCCAGATTCCTAAAACTCCTTTTGGGTTTTAGGAAGAACTTCTTTCCTCTACCCTTACCCTCGCACCTCCATCCTCCACTCTCTCCCGATCTAAGCTTTAGCCTTGTGGGTAACTGGTAGAGTGAGGGGCCTATTTGTGTCTAATGAGAATAGAGATACTGTGAGATATCTAAAGCCTGCTTGAGGTTGAGTTTGTTTATTTATATGATTGTTTAAGACCCAACTTGATAGAAAAGACAATAAAATTTTAATAGAAGTCCCATTGTCTTCCAGACACCATTAGTATTTGGGGTATATCAGTGCACTAAATAGTCAAAATTTCTGACAACTCCTCCTGTGAAAACAGCCAGCCAGGTGAAAACTTGGATGCCCAACTCAGCCAAGTCATTGTCCCAGCAGAGTCATTGACATTTTCTCCATCATCGCCTACCGTGTCTGTCCTGTGGAAAAATGCAGGGATCAGGAGAAAGTAACCAAAACGGTAAAGAGGGGTGAAAAATTAGTGACACTTAGGAATTATTTGGTGGTGGTTGTTGGCCTTATAAAAAAAGAATATTTCCTTTATGAAAATATCTACTCAAAGATTTTTGTATATAGAAACTCCCCCAGTTTATTGAGGTATTTTTTTCAAGATGATTGTGAGTTTTGAGGTAAGATAAAATAATTGGCTGTTGCCAACTAAAGATAGCAGGAAGGAAAACTAAATTAAAAAAAAAAAAACCCTAGAATGGTAGTCAATGGTATACTGCAAAAGTTGATATATACATCATATATATGTGTGTGTGTATATATGTGTGTGTATATATATGTATAACTAAAATGAATATAAAGCGAAGTCATTATTTTAATAGTTTTGGTCTAGGAGGTTGGTCCAAGATAAATGAATAATGGGTATAAATGGAGGGATAATCTCAGTCACACAAGTTCCTGCTAATCACCAGTGTGCTTCATCATTTTGATTGTATATGACTAGCTTTTCTTCAATTATCATGCTGAATTGTAATTGTTTGTGTGTTCCACACGGTAAAGCTGGGTGCCATACCTGATTTACATATTTCCAGCGTTCAATAGCAAGGAATCAGTAGATATTGGGTAATGGTGAATTGCACTACAAGAAGAAACAGACCTTATAAGAGAGAGAATTATGGTGGATGGTTGGAAACTATTTTTGAGGTTGTTTCTCTTTGTTCATTTGGAGAAATAGGATGCCTTCTAAAGGCAGGAAAACATTCAAATTTTCTGAGTATCAAAGCATTGAAATTATTAAAAAATTGAATTTTGATTAGAAAGTATAAATATGATGCTATTGCTTCTGATCTTTCATATATCAACCAATGTTTGTTTCTTTTGGCTTCTCATTGAATGCTGTTTTGCTGAAAAAAATGAGATCAGTGGGCAAATTTTTCTCTCTGCATTCAGGATACATGTATTGAGAATAAAATGTGATCCAGGCATTGAACTTAACACTACAGAAAAAGTGATAAAAACAGATATCACCCTCAAGGAATTCTCATTTATATCATAATAATTCTGCAGACAAAACTGAACAAACCTAATGTGGAAGAAGAATATACATCTTCAAAAAAGACATGAATGTTGGCATAATCTCTTTAGAGTTATTTACTTTTAGAAAATTGTGAAAGATTATATATTTTATTGGGTCACTTTGTTAATTGTTTTAAAAGTATCATTTTTATGATTTTGTTTTATCGTTGAAGAAGTATAATTTATTTTTGTTATTCTAAAGGTGACCAGATCCTATCCTATTTGTCGTCTAAGAAATAAACATTTTCTACCTCTCATAATTCAGATTACATTCCTAGTATATTTGCCTTTTATATTGTTTTGCATAATTTATACAGAAGACAGAGTGAAAAATTTCTGAAAGCAAAGCTTTTTGAATACAACATCTATAATTTTAACTAACAATGGCAGATTTATTTGATTGACCACACCCCGAATCCCTGGCAATGATGACAATTTAAGTGTGTAAGCACAAAGAACCCAGTCATTCCCAATGGACAACATTGTATTACATTAGTATGAATGAAAACCCAAAACACATTATGGATTCCAGTTTTTATACTGTTTTGTTCTTTCTTCTTCTTCAAATATATTCCACTGCTTTCTGGCTTATTCAGAATACTGTGAAGTATGTTTAGAAATTAAGTTGAAAATGAGTGATTGTTGTTTTTTTCAAATTGTTCATATGTTCTTGCTAATATTGACTGAGCATATTAGTGGTTATGTTGCAATAAGGAAAGATCAGATGACATACAAAAGCAGTGTTAGGTATTCATGTATGTTTAGATTAATTGTACCTGGGTATTTTCATATGTGATTATTTTGTCTGACTATTGTGAGTGTGTATGTATTCCAAAACTACATCATCTGCTTTTTGAATTTTGCTCTTCTAGATGTGCATTAAGCATTTGCTATGTTCAAAATATGGTGCTAGTTGCTATGGCTGGATATGTAATATGTGGTACTAAATGCTGTGGTTGGGGGACTGACTGGGACAGAAATCCTGCCCTCAGGATGTATTTCTTTCTCAACAAATCTGTATGTGTTGTGTTTGGCATGTTGCCCTACATCGTAATAGAGGCTAGGGATTAAAAAAAGATTTCTTTATTTCTTCATTGATTCAGTGAACACTGTGTACTAAATATACATCAGATTTGAAAGTTCTAATGTCATAGAGATAAACTTAACTATGATTTTTAAACTAGAGGGAAATTGTCATTTAATCTATTGTATCATTTCACAGATAAATGTGGCTGCCCTTTATGTTAGGTGTTTGCAACAGTTGAGCCACTCTCCTAAAACAGTCTGGAGGAAGCAACCCTTCAGTGAGGCCTTGTCCTCATTGACTCCCACCTCTACCCTGCTTCAGTAAGGATTTCATATTCAAGAAGTGAAATTCTATTCCATTTGGAGGAAAATCCCCCAAGTGATATTTAGCTTTTTATTGGTACATAATATTTCTACGTATTTATGGGATCCATCTAATATTTTGTTACATGCACAGAATGTGTAATGACCAAATCAGGGCTTTTATGTTATCCATCGTCTTGAGCATTTATTATGTCTGTGTGTTGGGAGAATTTCAAGACCTCTCCTTTAGCTACTTTTAAATATATAATGCATTGTTGTTAACTATAGTCACCTACCGTGCTATAGAACATTAGAACTTATTCCTTTTATTTAATGTATGTTTTTAACCAACCACATTAACCAACCTCTTTTCATTCCTCCCAAACTCCACCCATATCCTTCCCAGCCTCTAGTAACTATCATTCTACTCTCTGTCAACTTTACAGCTTTCACATATGAGTCAGAACATGTAATATTTGTCTTTTGTGCTTCACTTATTTCATTTAATATGATGACCTCCAGTTCTATCCATATTGCTTCAAATGACAAGATTTCATTCCTTTTTGTGGTCAAATAGTATTCCATTGTGTATATATACCACATTTTATCTGTCCCTTCATCTATTCATGGGCACTTAGGTTGTTTCCGTATCTCCGTATTGTGAATAGTGCTGCAATAAACATGGGGCATCCCTTTGATACGCTAATTTCCTTTCCAATAACACATCAGAAACATAATTCACCATTATAAAATGGGATTTATCCCAAGGATGCAAGGACAGTTCAATATTTAGCTTTTAAAATACTAGCTAATTCCCTTTCCTTCCCTTCAAAATTCCTAAGATAAATTTAAACATTTCACTATGATTTTATTATAATTTATTGTGCAAAGTCAAAACTGTGTAGGTGGGCATTTTCAACCGTGTATGTGTGTGTGTGTGTGTTTGGGGGGAGTTAGAGTGGTTCCACAGGCTTGGTTTGTGGTGTTAATTATCTCTGGAAGTATAGACATATATTTGAGGTGAACATATGATGAAAGACAGAATTATTAGGTGTGGAGCTACTTCTGTGCTTTAGTTTCATTAGACTTTATTTAAACTTTTATATAGTAGCTGGTAATAGTTTGGATGATTATGATTTTTTGCTGAAGTTTATTCCAGTGATGATGAAGAAAGTATTGGATTGGGGAAAAATAACAAATAAGGTTAGGGAACACTTCCGTTGCTTTCTTTTTTGGCCACCTGGGAGCTTTTGCTTCTTGTTGAGACTAGGGATGATTCATTCATTCATTCACTCATTTGTTCAACCAGTATTTATTGACTGTCTTCAAAATACAAGGCTAAGGGGATATACACATGAATCAAGATGTGGATCTGGCATCTGAAGGTGGGAAAGTCAATCTAGTATAAGATAGATAGTCTTAGCACAGAGAGCAGAAAGTAAAACATTCGATGAAAGGGAGAGGAAAAGAGCTGTGGGAGTTAAGAGAAGGAAAACGATCTTTCCAATTATGCTTATCAAAGAGGAGTTTATAAAGGAGGTGGCGTATGGAATGAGCGTTGAAGATAAATGGTTTGGACCCAATTGGGAAAACATGTACTAAGCAGTGGCGACATCATGAGTGAAGGCATAGATGACAGATCAAATAATTCAGTTTGGCTTCATAATAAGTTATTTAATGGACTATTATTAATGTGAGGCTGAGTCATTTAGAATTCCTTCTATAGGCTGAGGGTCAGTAAACTATGGCCTATATTGCTGCCTGTTTTTGTAAAAAGTTTTATTGAAACACGGTTATGCTCACTTGTTTACATATTGTCTATAGCTGCGTTTGCACTGTAACAGCAGAGTATAGTCATTACAACAGAGACCATGTAGCTCTCAAAATCTAAAATATTTTCTGTAAAAGGCCAGAGAGTAAATATTAATAATATTTGCTGATTCCTGCTTTAGGCCATAGTTGAAAACCACTGATCCAGTCTGGGACTGGCACAGAACGGTTTTTTAGGAGAAATTTTTAGACAGTCCTAATTATAAGAGGGGAGGTGATGACTAATGTGGAAGCCTGTAGGGTTTTTGAACTAATCTATGCCAGTACCTTCTAGTAGGAGTGGAGAGGATTTGAATGCAAAATATATTAAGTAGATGGAATCAGTAGGATTAGGCAAAAGATTTGAAGAGAGAGGCCATGGAAAAGGAGGAGTCAAAGCTGAATAAAAGAATTTCAGCCTGAGTGACTGTGTGATTGATGGTGCTGCAGAAACAGGGAACGCAGAAGGCCGGCCACGGTGGCTCACAGCCTGTAATCCCAGCACTATGGGATGCCTAGGTGGGCGAATCTCTTGAGGCCAGGAGTTCAAGACCAGCCTGAGCAACCTAGCAAGACCCTCATCTCCATGAAAAAACAGAAAAATCAGCCGGGCATGGTGACACGCACCTGTAGTATCAGCCACTCAGGAGGCTGAGGTGGAGTGATTGCTTGAGCCCCGGTGGTAGAGGCTGCAGTGAGCTATGATGACACCACTGCTCTCCCGCCCAGGCAGCAGAGTAAGAGCTTTTTTCAAAAAAAAAGAAAAGAAAAGAAACGTAACGAAACCAGGAACACAGAAGGACAAACAAACACTTGTAAAAATCTCAGTGATCTGTTGGAGATCAAACACTGGCATGTCTGGTAGAAGACTCAATATGACTACATAAGGTAGAATCTTACAGTTTTTGCAGGCCCTAGGTGTATTTACCACAGTTAAATGTGGAAAGTTTTATTTTATTCTTCGTATTTAAATGGACTGAATTACTATGAGAATTATTTTTATAACTTCTTTTTGTTTTCTTTTTTAACAAAAATATTAGACAATTTGAGTTTTTATAGCCAAAATAATTTTAAGTAGAAAACAATATTTGTCCTTTGAGAAGTTTTACAAAGGTTCAAAGAACTTTTCTAAAGTGTTTAAACACATGAATAACAATGCTAGTAGAATGAAATGGAAAAAGTTTCAGCAACCTTAAATTTTTATTCAGTCGGATTCGTTTTTTTAATGTCAGCTACTTTATTGTCTTAATTCCCAATGTTACAAAAAGATATGAAAATATGAACATATCTTTCTAAGTTTATCCATTTTAATATTTAACAGGCTTTACAAATATAAGCCTGAATTACTTGTATTTTACATAAATTTTATTCTTGATTGAGATTTTAAAAATTTTGATTTTGGTGATATGTGATTATAGAAAAAAATACTAAGTCTAGCACTAAAAAGGCTGTCTTTCATTTGGTAATGTAATGTAAACACTAATAATTCAATACAATCCATATAATTTAAGCTGAGGGAAAATTGGTGTACTCTGTAAATAGTACAGGTATTAATCTTGTGTTGGATTCTAAATTCTGACATTTATTAGAGACCTTTTCTTGTTTTATGTGCCTAAATTCTGACATGTGTATTCTGAAACTTCTTTTTTCACCATTAAACAGCTTTGATGTCATATTTGCTGGTGGTCCAGAAGAAGTCCTAAAAAAGTTCCAAAAGATGAATCACAAAGTGGTCTTTGCAGCAGATGGAATTCTGTGGCCAGATAAAAGACTAGCGGACAAGTATCCCATTGTGCACATTGGGAAACGCTACCTGAATTCAGGAGGTGGGTAAGATACTGGCAGAAAAGTTTAATGTAAGTTAAAATATAAATATTGATGAAACAACCTTTTAAAATATATGTAGTTACTGTAGACATGAAATATCCATTATCTTATTGTTACTATGGAAAATAATAGTTTAAAATCCATAGTGTATTTTATAGTTGACAAAGCATTTTCCCATATATTATGTCATTTGATGCTTCTAACAGTACTAGGCAATATAGATATTATTATTTCTACATTATAAATGAGGAAACTCATGTTACCACAATCTAAGTGACTACTCCTAAAGACATTCTGTTGTTAAAGGAAAATCAACATGGATCCAGGTCTTCTAATTATGGTTCATTAAGAATTTTCTGGCTACAGGATAATAGGTTTAGTAAATTTCCTTACTTGGGAAAAATATTAGCCTTAGTTTCTAATCATGTATCTCATAAAAGTAAGCATTGCTTAATTATATATGTATTTCTGAACCTTATTGGAGTAAATAAGTGATTTGTCTTAAAATCAATAGTTGACAAGATTCAACATTGAGTATCTGGGTATACTTAAAGTGTTGGATTTATCTATGCCACCATGGATTAAAAGAACAAATTACTATATATCCCACCCCCTCTGCCCCTCAAAAAGTAAAATAAAATTTTACTTTGGACATTATTATGATACCACAATTTGTTTTAGTTAGATTGAGATTAATGTAAACATATGGCCAGAAGACATAACCAAGGGGCATGTTAGAAAAACAAAATAGGTGCAAATTACAGGACACATTGGGAAAATGGATTTTTTGGGTGATCCACATGTATATAATTGATACTATTCAGGCTAGTTAAAATAAGTGCTGCTCAAGGTAGCAGCATATCTGGGTTCTAGTCTTTGCTCAGCCACTTAAGGCAATGAAACCTTTAGAAAGTAATTTAATTTTTTTGTGATGCCTCAATTCCAGCTCTTTTCACCTATACTTTATTTTAGCAACCCATTCCCATAGTTGTACCTTGGAACTTTGTCAGCCCATACACATGTTGTACTTCTGAAACCTTAAAATTCCAATTTCCGCTGTCTAGTTTCAGATCCTTTTATCTCAGATCCTCATCTCAGCACTTCCACAGTGCATACTTTTTAGGATCTCTTGATCATTATATTTTCTCCCTATTTATTTACTACCCTTGGATTTCATTTCCATATTCAGTCAGAACCTAGGGTTTCGCAGGTCGGTCACTCTGCCCTCGTTGCTTTAGCAGTCTTTCCCTCTTGGATTTGTAGTTGGTGAATTGTCAGTCTCTCTCTGAGATGGCTGCCCACTCTGACTCCTCTGCTTGAGCACTCGGCTCGTGGCTGGGTGCCACATCCATGGCATGGCCTCCAAACTGTCAAGCCCTCAGTAACACATGGCTGATCTTTTACCTTATTCTAAGTCCTCCATAGTTTAAAAACCAGTTTGTAAAGGAAGTACTTAGCTATGGAACTCTGGGATGAGTTTTATTTTACTTATTAAAATTTTCCCAAAGATGACATGCATAGTGAAATGTCATATGTAAATTTATCTAGATAGTGATATATCTACTCAGGTGGCTGAATTTCACACAGACTCACAGTGTTGTGGAAACAGCAAAAAATTAGCAAATAAGTGCAGTTGTGAGCCAGTTTAATTAAGGAAAAGGCATTTATAAGTGGGAAAGTGATTATACATGGACATCAAAGCATCATCCTTATGCTTTCTGTAGTCAAAATAATTACAGAGATGGTAGAAAGTATAAATATATTCAACACAAGTTTGTATAATTTCATTAATGATGTATTGAGAGTTATTTAAAGGATGTGAGTTATGTTTGTGGGTGTATCATTTAGTTTTTTAAAACAACTTTTGATAGATTTAATGTAAATCACATGAAATATATATTATGAAAACATATAATTCCTTTTGATTTATTAAGGATACTTGGGATTTCTAAAAAAGGATAATCATAATTTTTGAAGAATGGTAATATAAACTATTGGAAAATATGTGTTACCACTTGGTATATTTATTATCACAGAGGGCTTGTTATAGGAGTTGAAAAATGTATTATCTTTCAATGTTCTATGATTTTTTTTATTTGCAAGAGTAAGGAAAAACAAGTAACCAGTTAGTGGTTTTTGTCCTGTTTTCATTTTGTCTTGTTTTCTCTAGGTAACAATAAATTTTTTCCTGGATCTATTTCTTTTAATTTTTTTATTCCTATGAGAAAATTTTAATCTTGAGGGTAAAAAATTATGTTCTCTTTCAATTCACAGGAGTAACATTGGTCCCTTTTTAGAAGTATTATATGTCAATGAAACATAGCAGCTTGGTTACATTTGCAAAATTCAGAGGAAGACTCAAAGAGGAAAATGACCCTCTCTGTGTCTTTCATAGACAAAGGTTATTGGCAGATTTAATACTTATGCTCTAAGGCCAAGGGGAACAATCCAGTTTTAGACTTCCTTTTTCCAGAGTATGACACACAAAACCTCGCCAGAAAATGGTTTAGCAGGCCCAGGAATGACTTGCCCAAGTAATGGAAGAATTCCCAAAATTCTAGATATAAAATGTCTTTGGGATGTTTGCAGTCAATGACAACTCCAACATTCCTTTGATTGTATTAGTGCCTCTGGCACTGACAGTAAAACCACTGTAGTAGAGATTTTCTTCTTCCAGAAACAGTGAGTCCTCTGCAGAGGATCCAAGAAGAGCTTTTTAGAAGGTCAGAGAGAAAATTCTTATGTATTACTCTATTCTTTTCCTAGTAACTTTTTCCCCTTAGGAGCCTTGGAAAACATTAGTTCTCCCTCTTATGTCAAATAATTTGGGGGATATATTTATTTAAAGAGAGTGTTTGATTATTTTCTGTTTTGTGGTTGGTAGTAATGCTCATTCTATTGTAGTTTATTTGTAAAACAAATAACAACTCATATTTCTTTTATGGTGAGCTATGATATTCCAACCTAAGGATTAAGCCTCATGTCTTCACAGCTCTGCAGCTGGTCAATGGAATTAACATAGACGTGAGTTTTGGTCTTTGAATCCTAAATTCTCTACTCTCTCTCTGCTGTGTTGCAGGATTTATCGGCTATGCTCCATACATTAATCGTATAGTTCAACAGTGGAATCTCCAGGATAATGATGATGATCAGCTCTTTTACACTAAAATTTACATTGATCCACTGAAAAGGGTATGTGACAGTCTGCGTTTTCCTTTTGTTTTCTTTTTGTTACTTTGTTATATTGATAATGTGGAGTGATCAGAAACAAAGGATTTCATTGTGGAGTAGTCACAAAAAAGGATAGTGTGGCAGCTGGAAAACTGAATTTCAAAATGTTCTCGTCAATAACATATTTTAAATAATATGAGTCAGTGAAACAAATAGTAAATAAGTGAGATTGGTTTCTCTCACCTAGCTGGGTTTCAGCACTAACTAAATGTGTCTTTATGGCTCCTTTTTGGTGGCCAAGACAGCAACCTTGCCAGACTTGGGTGGATCAGACAGAGGAGAGGAGGAAAGATGCAAGGCCCTGCTCTTCCTTCACAGCTATATTGAAACACATTGAAATGGCCCGATACTAAAATGAAATGGCAGCTCTCACACCAGTGTTAGGGCCCCACCTCGATTGCACACTCACTTCCAAGGCTGCCTCTTAATAACAGAATGAGTTATATCATCAAAACTTTTGAGTTTCGAGATTTAAAGAGACAATAATGAAATCCCAGAGACTCTAGAGAATGACTTCTGTCCAATTCTTGAACAGATAACTGTCATTTAATAAGACACAAAGCATTGGAAATATGTGTTCTTTTAGTCCCTCTGTCTTGCAGCTATGATGCTTTCTCACAAAAGTTACTCCAAAGCTATTTGATACCAGTATACTCTTGTAGTTTAATAAAACAGTGTATTCAAAATCCATTGTACATCCTCGGTGAACTTCTAAAATCCTAAATAGGTTAGAGGCCAGCATCTATATCCACAGTTTACCAATAGGGAAACTGAGGCCACGTAGTCAGTGAGTGACACAGCAGGAATTGAATCCTGGGTTCCCTGAATCAGTATTTTCCTTCTATTAATATTTCATAGGATGGTGACATTGAATTCATGTGTTTATTTGGCTACATTTGTAAAATAATAATTGTTTTGAATACTTTGAAATGGCATGTGAATAAGGCCTCTCAATAGAGAGTTTTTAATTTTAAACTTACCTGTGACCCCACTGAGGGTAGGGACTTTCCTATGATATTTGGAGCCTAGAGATCAAGGGTACTGGGGAGACACTGAGGTTAAAAGTCCTGATCTGTGTCCAAGTGTTTGGTGGCCCAGAATGAAGAGAGCCTGTGGGTATAGTTGTTCAAGTATGATCCTTTATTGGAATCCTATGGGACTAGATAGCCAATTTTTGGATTTAGAATATTTGAGAATTTGGAGCCTGGGGATTTAAAGAAATAATGATGATTTCCTAAAGAGGTTAGAGCCTCAGGATCCATGGGACTATGATATAGATGCAACCTTATGCATTTTATTAATAGGAATACTGCAGTTGTCACAAATAGAGCAACTCAAAATAGCAGTGGCTTAAATAAGATAGGTTTTTCAAAACATATTTTTCCCCTTTATCAAAACATTTAAAAAAATTAAGAGATAGGATGTACAAGGGTGTTTTAGTGGCTTTATGGTATCTACCATTAATTAATTAATTAATTCATGGTTCTACCATTAGCCTATAGCTCTCTCAATGTAATATCCTGGTCCAAAATGGCAACTTGAGTTCCAACCATTGCATTCATATTCTGGGCAGCTAAAAGGCAGAATAGTAAAAAAATGGGCCATCTTAGTTGCATCAACTCTCTTTTAGGACCCTGTCTAGAAGTCTTAGAGAATACTTTCTCATATCTTTCTTTGACCAGAACATAGTTATGTGACCACACATAATATGTAAAAGGAATTTTTTTTTTTT